CCAGAACCACGACATCCGTCTTGGGTGCTTCGAGAAGCTCATGTGGTCTGCGATAGAAGGCATATTTGACTGTATCCGGGTTGCAGTTCATGAGAGCGCATGCAGAAACCAAGAAAAAGCACCATTCGTTTGGTTTCTGCCTTGTGATTTTACTTGAGCCTTAGAGTGTCACTGCGCACAGTCGTCTACTTAACGGGACCCAGTCCAATAAACCAGCCCCGGCCCTGGCGCTTAGGGTAATCCCAATGCCTGACTGACCAGACGCTGATGCGACAGGGGGCCCAGAAAGGGGCAGAAAACGCTTTTTTTAGATCGGAAGGAAGCGTCAATGGGATCACTGAGTGTGTGCGTGACAGACTACTACCGTGCATATTTTTCTTCCGACAAAAGGTAGAGGAATGCATTTAAAAAGAAACAGTTGGCGTAGTTTTAGGCTCGGTCCGAAATTTTGATCATTGTAGTAAGCAAACAGGCAGTGGTGCACCACTGGACGACAGCACACACTGATCTTCGACACAAGACAAAGTCACTAATCCGTGTGATAGATTCGGTGTCTCGGATTCGATCAAAGCCGACCACTCAATTAGAATTTGACTCTCTATTAAACGTGTTTCGAATGTAATTTGATATTCTCTGTCATCGGGTTATTTAGTTCGCTTACGAGGGGGGAAAACTAACGAGTGGTTTGATGACACCACTAATTACTCATGACACGATGAGAATGAGGGCTGTTCTGAACAATTATCTGCGGACAGACTCACAAGTATGCGGCGAATATTGGCAATGCAACTATACCACAACGAAGAATCACCATTGAAAGGGAAGAACGTAACAATTTTTTTTAACGAGATGAAAAAGATAACGTAAATAGAAATGGGAAAAGGAGCATGTACACATCTAATCATAAACCTCTGCCAGATATCATAAGGCGCAGTATGGAGGAATACAGCGCGTGTTTTGTCCCTTTGCACTGACTTCAATCATACCTAAATTGTTTTAGTTCTATTTTAAAATGCTACAGTTGTGTGGAGTAAAGATTACAACTACTCGGTCAGCGATGAACTTGGTGCTTGTGACAGAGGTCTTTTAGACACACCTACTCCCATTAAACAACTGAGTCACATGTGGAGACGCTTTGGAAAGTTCCTTTTGACAAGGAGACTCACGGCGAATAGAGATCGTCGGTATCATCTAATACTATTGCATTTTTTTCATTTCACGCAACTTGCTTCTATGTGAGAGCAAGTCGGTTTCATAGAGGAAATTTTGAAATAAACTGCAGTGAAATCTGCGGTACCGCTCGGTCTTTTCATTTAAAGACTCAACTCTAGTCGTTTTATAGCTAAGTGCTACCTGCAAGACAAAAGAATGACGCTGACTGACTCAGCTGATGTTAGATCGGATTTGCACACATCAGGATACTTTCAACGGGCAATTGTGGCTTTTTTATGGGTAAACCGCTCACCAGCCGAAAAAGCATCACGCCTTCAGTCACGACCGCTAAATGTTCGCAACTGCTTATTCAGGGGAGTAGTTCCTATCTAGTTATGGGCTTTTCTCCTATCGATGAGCGGGAATTGAATCCATCTACGTAAATATCCGCTAGCCGTAGACTTGCAGTCTACCGCAGGGTTATATCACGCCTATCAGGTTAGCATGTTCATTGGCTGGTCCATTCGAGTCTAAAAATAATACCACTGATTCCCTCAATCACGTCGTGAATCCTCTTCGTTATGTAATTTTCCTTCCATCGGATTATTCGGTAAGGCTTGCTAACATCACTTCTGCGAAAGTTTGCAGAAATTTATAATACCATTAAAAATATTTTACTAGGTCCCGTGGTCGCAGCATACGATTATCAAATACACGACCAACACGGTTTAGATTTCTATTTATACAACTATTAACGATTTTTGTTAAGTGAACAACAATTAAAACACGGTTGGTTATTTGAGCTCTGCAATAAATAAAAAAATACTTAATTAGATATATTTTTCTGTGATGTTGCTTAGTGGTTGTTTTACTTCATTGCTCTTCATTTTGGGTAGTTTCCAGCACAAGGTCAGTGGCCGCCAACTCGTAGTAAGGTTCATTATCTTATTGTTGTTTGCTGCAACTTAAATCAAACTTCACCATTTATAAAGTGATTGATTCTCAGTCTTGAGAATATCAATCAAATCAGTTTTATCAGATGTGGAACAACACTTCACACCTGGGAACATGCGCCATCTGTAAAGTCGCATATACCACGCATTCTACTCGAAAAAGTTCCAAATATAATGCCTACTTATAAGTAGCTGAACGTAGTCAACAAAATTAATTTTACCTGAAGGCATTCGATCAAGTGACCGATTGTCATACGACTTGGAATGGCGTGTGGGTTGATAATGATGTCAGGGGTGATTCCTTCACACGTAAACGGCATGTCCTCCTGTCGGTACCGAATACCACAAGTACCTTTCTGGCCGTGTCGACTGGCAAACTTGTCTCCGACCTGAGGTGTTTTCGTAGTTCGGACGCGAACTTTGCAAAATTTGTTTCCTTCGTTGTTCCACGTAACCATAACTTGATCCACAATGCCATACTCGCTCCGGCGCATGAACACACTAGCATCTCTCTTGGTGTAGCGTCGTTGCCCACCTTCAAGCTGAGAAACGAAAACGTTAATCGGAGTTATTACATAGATGAAGTTCAATTTTTTAAAATAAGATTTACATCTACGTATCAGATTGTCCACTCACGCAGTGATATTATTTAGTGCTTTAAATTACACAAAATAAAAAGTTCAAATAAACACCAGTTTTCACAATACTCGTAGAGACTGGGGTCTGTCAGATTATTCTCTAGAAACTTCAGAATTGTGCATCATGACAATATAAACTTTGATTTTTTATCACACACCCTAGAATGAAGAACAATACAATGGGTGAACGCCATAATCATGAGAACTTCCTGTTCGGTAATGAGAACCGGCGATCTAAGCACTGGAACGTGGGGAAGCGGATTACATGCTGCTGCAATAGAGTGCTTTATTTGAGCTGTGCGCAAGCGTCAGTGGTTGCAAGTGGTGTAGAAAGAGAACTGGCACATTAACCAACGGATTATTTCATTTACATTGAATCTTCTAGCACAACCAAATGACGGTTATCACCGGGAATATTTTCAGATTTATCAACCAGATCCAACTCAGCTGTGATATACATTTTCAGATCCTCAAAGAATACGGCTAACTTACTTTTCGAGGCGATGAATTCCATGAGACATGCTGACGTCAGGAATCAGTGTATGCAAGTTTAAACGCTTCACATTTACTTTTAGGCAGTTTACTGCAAGATGGAATAAGTAGACCTCATAGGTGAACCCATGATTACTGAATGCAGGGTACAGTAGTATCTCCTGCATAGACGGGTCTTTTTCTGGCAGAAAACAAATATTATTGACAAGACAATATTTGGTAGTGGATCAGATTTGCGCATGTCACAATGTTTTCTAAGGCATTTTTGATAATAGAGAGATCGCTATCCGTGCGAAAGCCCACCACGCTGGTCGCTCGCAATCGTTTATCCAGTGGAATAATAGTCTCCTATTTACGGTCAACTATCTAAGGGACTTTCTACGACCCGCAACTTGCAGAGGCAATCAGCAAGTAAAACTCCGCTAATATAGGGTTCAAAAGTCAAATGTGATGATTAATTGGCTACTTTGTCTCGGGATGAAGCCATAACTGCTTGTGAATGTCATGCATCTAAGGATTACACAAATATGCCAGAAAAAAACAAATTTCAAGCANACGGTCACAACCTTTTGGTTTTCTTAGTTGATTAACTTCGGACGATAGGTACTAAATCACAGTTAATGTTCACTCTGGACAATCAAACCGTTTTTGGTGAATTAATCAATAATGTTTACATTTAGTTCTGTATTGCAAAACACCGTACTCCGATTATGTTTGCTGTCAACTCCAACTTAACTATGACTCCATGAAAAACAATCACAGGTCATTGGGACATGTGTTGTGCGTGCGACCAAGTAGGTTTCAGTCAGTATGGTCGGGGATGGGTGTTTCGGGTTGTGGCTGGTCACCCTCCCCGTACACATTGCGCAATGCTCCTATAAGACCAAAAGTCTCAAATAGCCTCTGTTGAGGAAGTCCTATCCAATGCCTTCCAGTGACAGTTTGCGTTCTCAAGTGAAGACGAAAAGCCGACATCCGGGGCTATAACCGGGTAGGTGAACCGCTGCCAATTCGTCTGGAGGAGCTGGCTAAAAACCTTGATTTCAAACCAAGCAAGAAGAGGCGTACGAACCACACACACACACACCTTCCTGGTTGTGGTAGTGATCACC